CCCGGGCCCGCCGGCCATGGAGCCGCCGCCGGCCGCCGAGCCGCCGCCGGCCGCCGCTCGCCAGGTACCGGGCGGACACTGGGGGCAGGCGAGGTGTGGGACTGTGCGCGGTTCAGCGAGCCTACCGGCACCCGCCGGACTTCTCTCGGCGCTGTGCGGCTCGTGGGGCGGGGATGGGTGTGAGGGGTACCGCGGCCGGTTGCGGCGGCTCAGGACGACCGGCCGCTGGAACGTCCCCGCTCCGCGGTCGAGCGGGCGGCAGCGATGGCATTTTCATCTCTGTTCAGTTGCCCCCGAATTCGTAGGAGGAAGAAAGAGTCCTGAGTACCACGCAGGGGGAGAAATGCGTTCCCGGGGGCCTCACCTTGTGAGGCAGGGGAAGGGCGGCTGCTCGGCACGGCTAAAATTCGGTGTCGCGTGAGCGCCCCATCATCTCCCGCCGTGCCCCATCATCTCATCTCCTGCCCTGCCCGCTGCTGTCGCTGCCATAGCGGGTGGCTTGGCTGGCCCACGGCTCGCAGGGGCCCCAGGAGAGGACCCTGCGAGAGGCAGACGCCTGGCGTTCATGTGTCCCGCGTTGTGGAGCTCTCTGGCCGAGCTCCCAGCTGGCATCCCTCTTTGTCTGCGGGCCAGGGACATTCTCGGGAGCGATGCTCTTCACACAGGAGCCGTTTCACCTGTGTCACAGCTTTTTGTTGCCCTTTCTTTTTGCCTATTGAAATATGTCCCTGCCAGCTGGGGAAAGGGACCAGCTCTTAGCAACGCACATTGTGTTAATTTCTTGTAAAAAGAAATTGAAGAGAGGGAACTGGACTGTTCAATTCAGTGCAATTTCACCTGTACTGTGCTGTTAGCAGAGAGCATTAGAATTTCAGGGGAGAATGACAGTGATGCTTCTGTTGCTAAAATCAGTAGCGAAATAAAAATGTAGCACAGGTCTAGATAAGAAACAGCTGAGGGAGAATGTTACTTATGAAACTACGTGATATGAAGAAGATAGGAAATAGGAATAGAAGATAGGAAATTAGTTTCTCTTGTGATGACACAAAAGACTTGGGGACACCCAAGTGAAAATACTGAATGGTAGATTCAGAACAAATTAAATTACCTGTCTCTTTCTAGGATGCATAATTAAAACGTGGCATTCACTGACACATGACATTGTATGCACACTTACAGACAGGTTCTAAAAAGGGAAAAATCAAGCAGCTGTCCATTTAGAAGTGTGGTGCACCAAGAACACAACCACTTTGGGAAGTCCAAAATACACGAACTGAGGAAAGCTGGGAGAGGAAAGTTATTTGCTAACTGGCTGTCTTCTATGGTCTTATGCTCTCCCTAGCACCTTTCATGGTCATCACTCAGAAATGGGATACCATGCTATACTGGGCTTTGATCTGAGACAGTATTATGTTAGTGCTGCTTAAGGATTAAAGGTTCCACTTAAATGTGTAGTCCTACTAGAGGCAGGCAATCTTATGCTTGTCAGTTTATCTGTCTATATACAGATGACTTAGATTTTTCAGTCATTTAATTTTTTTTCCAGGAATATTAGAGGCAAGCATTTGAGTTGGTACTACCTGCTGTGTATGTTAAATAGGCTTCTGCATCCGTGAAATAGTGGTGTTACATTCATACTTAGTACACAGAACACAAAAATATGGTCTTTCTGATGAATAATTCTAAAATGTTCTCTGGCAGCACAGTGGTGATTTAAGGAGAGGATTACTGCATGTAAAAAGCTCTTTTATGAAGATACAAGATTTAATTTTTGAAGCTACTAGCTACATATTGTGCTCTGAACTTTGGTTCTTTCCCACAGAGACTTTCTGGGACCAGCTGATTTTATAGTGTCATTAACTATTCGTAATTAACTAAACCATTGAATGGCACAAAAATATTTAAAATACTGGATAAAACCTTGGATTAGAGTATGTTAAGATGTTGGCATGCTTTACTAGTAAGTCTTGAATTAATTTAATTTCCCTGATTCAGGAACTTTTTTTACTGACCAATTGTATTAGCCGAAATATTTTCAAAAATAGTTGATTCACATTTCTGTCTTTGAAATATGACTAAGAATGTCTTTGTTTAGCAGCCTACCTCTGAGTTTATATATATTTCTCTCCTTCCACTTAATATTTTTCAGAGAATTACAGAAGATTATGGGTCAGACTTATACAGGAATTAGCTGCTTAATACCCCTTTGATTTCTCACTGAAAAAAATGGGATTTACATATCAAAATACCTCTACAAAGCTGAGTCTATGACAATTTAAAAAAAAAATCTTTAATAGGCTGTGTGAAAAATACTTGTTCTCACCTATTTTTCTCATGTATAATGTTTTCCTTGTCTTCCTGAAATAGGTAGAAACAGATGACCAAATAGCCCTCCTTAGTAAGCCCAGGAATAAAGGAGGAAACAGTGATCTGGCATCAGCTGGATTTAACATTATTAATTCAATCATAGGATCAGGCATTATAGGTAAATCTGCTTTTCTTCACTATCCTGTATTCAGCCTTGTTTATTCATGCATGACTATCTAGCTTGGACAATAACACTGACTCCTTACTTTCTGCTGCTGTTTTTAAAGATTTTTCTCTGTATTTATTTGCTTACTTTGCAAAAATGCAGAGGTCTCAGTTGAGACCCCACCTTAATGATAAATACCCCAGAGTCTCTTGGCTATAATGACCAGAGAGGCTGGGCAGATGCTGACTGAACTTCATACTTAACAACACTTTGTCCAGTGAAAATTACATTTTTGAGGTTATTGAGCATGCTGGTCCCATTTGGGAGATTACTAGCATTTTTTAAAATCTGAGTTTTTCTTTATTTTGATTCTCACAAATAAATGTTTGGAAAGAATTTGCTAGAATCTCTCCCTTTCTGCTTTGCAGGATTGCCATATTCAATGAAGGAAGCTGGTTTTCCTCTCGGAATACTGCTTTTGTTTGTGGTTGCCTTAATTACAGGTACTCTAAAGGCAGTTTCTGTTGTAAAGATAGAATTAGTCATGCAATATTCTTAGCTTATCTTAAGCTTAATGATACCTTAAACAAGTATATCTATGACAATAAAAATGACTAATATTTTCCTTACCTCACTAATCTCTTCAGTAGATTGGTAAAAGTAGAGAATTACACTGTACAACATATGAAGCTGCTTTTTGACTGCATTTGTTTTCATGAAGCCTTAGTTTCCTAGTCAAGTTTACATTTGAAAGAATGTTCTTATTTGTGACCTCATAATCACCTGTTTGAGTCCACTGTTAAGACTGGACTAATTAAGAGACTGAATCCTGAGAGGGTTGTATATGACTTTTAAAAATAGACCACAGAATGAAAACCTTTGATTGTACTATGATTTTAAGTATTTTTCTTCCGATATGAGCCTATAGCTCCTGGGTTTAGTGGATTGAGAGATTTTGTGAGATTTCTCATCCCTGCTCTTCCTAGTACCATTGCTTTTCTTCTTACAACCTTTTATTTTTGGTTAGAGGAGTGAAGGAAGGTGAAAAGTAATCAACCAGAGGTTGGCTCATATAGTCTTTAACAGTAATTTTATGTTTTAACAGATTATTCCATTATATTACTGATCAAAGGAGGAAATCTGTCCAGTACCAAAACCTATCAAGAGCTGGTCAAAAAAACGTATGGTCTTGTAGGTTATCTAATCCTTTCAATTCTCCAGTTTTTATATCCATTTATTGGTAAGATCACATAAAATATAAATGTTTAAGTTTTATAAATAACAAGCTTTTTCACATTACTTCATTATTTCACTGATTGAATATTAAGAACTATATAAAGAATGTAGAGTATATGCTTCTTTGCTTTTTTAAGAAAAATTAAATTTATTTTATGAGTTCTGAAGAATGACTTCAATGAATTGAAGGATCAGAATAATAGAATTGAACTGAAATGTAATAGCAGAGAAATTCATGATCAGACATATGAAAATTAATGACCAAAGTAGCTAGAAAAATAGCAAAGGAGATGCTGTTCTAGATTGTGTAGCAGAGAACAAAGTTGATGTGTTTGGAAGAAAAAGAAAATATGAATTTAGGAGTATACTGAATTAGTATATTTTCAGAGATGCAGTTTTACTGTTTAGGTCTTGCTAGAATATTATGTGCTGTCATTGCTGTTCAAAAGCATTAGTTCAGCCTCATACCCAACAAAGTACTAGGAAATTGGGCAGTCAAGACCCCTTGGAAGACAAAATAGTAAATTAACAAAAAGGTATAATCTGGGCAGGAATTTATTAGACCAGAAGTTTGAAATAAAGTTCTGTTCTGAATTTGTCCCCTGCTGTAGCAGCATAATTAAATCAAATCTTAAATAGTCCTGTTATTTTCACACGTCAAGCTGCAGGATGTGATGACCTGAGATATCAAGAGTCTGGACTTGGTGATCACAGAATCACAGATGAAAATTCCTATTTTGGGTCTGGCTACAGATACCTGAGATTTTTAAGGTTGGCAAGTTGCTGTTACTGCTGGCAGCAGTGTTACAGATTTAAATTATACTCCTTGGTAAACCAAGAACTCCACTGATAATACAGAAAAATAATTGTAAAGGTCTCAGTCCTTACCACAGAGCTATGGCTATGCTCTTGTATGTGTTTGAATTAATTTATATAAGTAGAGTTGATGACTTACAATTTCACATCACAGAATATTTATATATATAGTTAAGGTCAATACCTAAATATATGGTGTCTAAATGCTAAAGACCATGAGAGTGTATAAATATATTTTGTGTGTGTATACACACGTGCACAAATTTACACACTCATAGTGTAGAGTTAGATAAGAATGAAATAGGAGTGTTAAGGCCACAGCACTTATTAATGAGAGGGAGGAATCAAAGTCCATATCTCATCTCTTAATCTATTTTCTTCTTCTTTTTTCTGGTTTAAAGAGTTTGCTAGCTTTTTGCATGAGCTAGAAAGTCCGTTGCATTTAATTGCAGAACTGATTATTAGACGAACACAGGAAATTTTCAAACTAAAATTCAGAATTTTCAAACTAAATAGAAACAAGCATTTGAAAGTAAACTGACAAAGAATTGCTATTTGAAACAAATAGTTTTAGGAAGCCATTTTTATCCTCTTCTGAAGTAAGGTTATATGGCCACTCAGCACAATGGTCTTGCTTATCAGGCTGCATTAATACTTAGGTTGTACCTGTTAAAAAAAAAAAAAAAAAAAAACAAAAACAAAAACAAACCAAAAAAGGAAGTGTTAAATAATGATTTTTTTTTAAACCTGAAACTTTCAAGTTGTTGCTGCTAGCCAGAATTTCTGTTAGAGGGATAGTGGCATGTAATCCTGAAGTCTACAAAATGTGTGTATTCAGTGTTAATCAAATATTTTGGATATGACTTGTACTAATAAAAAACTTATTTTCTTTAAGCTATGATCAGTTACAACATAATAACAGGAGACACTTTAACTAAAGTTTTTCAGAGAATTCCTGGAGGTAAGATGCATTTAAAAATTTTAAAAGTGGGGGATCATAGATTGAAGTGTAGCATAAGTATTTTGGAATTACCTGTAATATAGCTTCTAAATTACTCTTAAGTTTAGTTCAAATTAAGAACGTGAAGCATATGTCTATGAGTGGGGTTTTTTGAGTTTGTTTTTTTTTCTTTAATAAGCCTTTCCCAAATAAAAACTATGAATCCTAGTCCTTGGCTATCAGTGGACTCAGTGTCAGTGAAGAGACCAGATGCTTCAGTGAAATACTAAGCAAATAGAAGTGAGTCTTCCACAGTTGTGTATTTACAAGATATTTGGGGTTTGTAATCTTTTTTTAGATACTTTCTATAATAATAATGATTTAAATAGTGAAACTGTATTTAATCTAGTGAATAATTCTGGATAAGTTGCAAATAATATAATGAATGTAATGCCTTTTAACTCATGCCCACTTGTTTCCTGTGCTCTTAAGTTTTCACAGCAGCATCAGTGGAGCAATTTATGTACGTGTTTGATATATACTTTAGCACAAAAGCAGCTAAGCTAAAACATTGTCCACTGGGAAATTAAACTGAGAGAAAACATATTTGTAATGAAGTGGAAATGTGAATTTGTATGAACTGTTTCATTTCCACAGGAGAACTATAATTTTCAGCATGTGAAACCTGAAAGGTGTGGATGTAGTTTTAATTATCACACTGTGTTGTTCTGTGAATACCTGATCAAATTGATAGTGACAGTGAATATCTAATACTTTATATGTAATATGACTTCTGTATTAAGGGGAATCCCCGGCATGGCAAATCTTATTACCTATCCAGTAGAATACCTGCCTTGAAAGAGGTGGGAAAGCTTTATAATCTCCCAAAGAAAAGAGGGAACAGAACTCTGAGTTTTCCATGGCAATTGCCAGTCACTTTCCAGCCATAATTTTTCATCAAGTATTCATTCAAGCCAGTGATTTATGGTGGCCTCACTGAAACTTGGAGATGTTTTATTTTAAGTTGTCATTGGCTTGAAAAAACCCACCAGTTATGCAAACAAGTCCCACTGATTGCATGGAATATTATAACAGCATTGTTGCCTTCACATGGTAATCTACTTTGCAAGTGGAAGCTGACTGATGGCAGGAAAGGAGGTGCCCAAAAGAAACCTCAAAATTAACTTCTTTTAGGCCATTTCTTCGAGAACAATGCTATCCTAAACAGCACAGTAATTGATGTCAACCCAGAGTATCAAAAATTCTCAAGACTAAATGGCAGAAAGAAGTAGTAGAATTTTTTATTTGCCCTCTCCCAGCATTGACCCAGACACAATGAAAGACGTTAATACCAATCTATATGTAGGAATCCGGACTTTGCAATTTTGATTTAATATATCCCATATGTTATGCATTTGGTTTGAATTTGCTGAATTCTTGTGTTTATGCCCATGCTGTGCATGGCTTTCTCAGTGTTAGTTAACGCCTAGTTTTCAGTATTACTTAGTCTGAGTAAAAGGAATAAAAGCTTGATCACCAACAGTTTGTTACTTCTAACCTTTCAAATGTAGCTAATCTTTTCCTCAAGTTAGTCTCTCAAAGAAATAAATTATTTTCTTTTTTGCTTTAGTTGGGGTGGATAACGTGCTTACCGACCGTCACTTCATAATTCTTCTTACCACCATCATCTTTACCTTACCTATATCTTTATATCGAGACATAGCAAAATTGGGAAAGGTAAATCATAACAGCAGTTGATTTTTGGTTTATTGTTCTGTATGCCATTGAAAATAAGTGCCAGTCATAACTTCGTGTAAATAATTAACAAATGCATTATGCTGCCCACAGGACCACCTTTCAGCAGCTTACTGACTGGAGTCATGTTTTTACCTTTGCAGGTGTCTCTTCTTTCTCTGATTCTAACCATTGTCATCCTGGTGGTTGTGATGGTGAGAACAGTAACCTTCAGTCCACAAGTGTGAGTATTCTTACACTTGCCACAAAGTGAACTTCTGTTCATATATAATCTGTTATTTCACTGTTGCATTTACTTGCATAGTTGTGGAACATGCCTGCTTTGGAACAGACAGATAATCAAAAAATCTCTGTCAACAATACAAAATAAACAGCTAAATATACTTCATCCTTTTAAATATTTTTTTTCTGTTGGGTATAAGCAAATTTAAAGAAAGTCTCTAAACCCCTAGAGATAAATGGGGAATTATGGATGACTGATAGCAAGTGGGTCCTGGATTGGCATGTGAGATTGTCGGTCATTTGAGATTTTTTAAATTTTTTTTCTGTTATTTCTATATTTACAATCATTAAAATAACTACTATCTTAGGAATGTTTATTTTTCTGATAAGATAAATATAATAATTTCATAATAAAAATAAAATACAAATACTGTGAATTTTTAAAAAACAACACAATAATAACATCTTTATTTTGTCATTTAAGAAAACTATATGATACGAAAAACTCCTACTCATGCATACTCTGAAAGTAGTATTTAACATTGGACATTGGAGTGTTCTAGACAATTTAGTTCACATAAGTATGTGTTGTGACAATATTTTTATGATTATATTGCAAGAAAGTGCTACAAATTATTATTTTTCCTTAAAGGCTTAGAAGGGCTGCCTTTTTTCTCATCCTTTAAATGTATAGGTATATTAATAAAGATGAAAAATACTACATCTGAACATGCTTTTTTATTTATTGGAAAAGATTTATATGCTACTCTTATGTTTCCCTCAGATTCTTCCACCAGGATTGTTTCATCAGTGTTAGGCACAATTGTTCAGTTGTATGACTGCTGTGATACACGGGTTAGTTGCAGGGTATTCAGGTTTAATGGTAGGAAGATGCCTGGAATAGCAGTTTCGTAAGTTGTACCAGATGATGTTGTCTATCATCCACAAAATCTCTCTCAGAACAGTGTGGAACTTCCCTCCCCACCATATTTCTGGAGCAGCATGTTTTTCACACTGTGTGTCAAAGGGGTATTTAAAAGGTTAATCTCAAAACTCCCTGTTAAAAAAGGAAGAAGCTATATATAATAGTTACTGATAACCTTGTTACTATGGTAACATTTCTTCTCCACAGTTGTGATGCACTGAAAAATATGGAATGCATGATTTTATTTTTTCTTACAGTACCTGCTGTTTGGTCTTGAGTGATTCTTGAAGTTTTACTTCTTAATTCTAGAAGTAAGAGTTCCAAAAGAGTTTTTAAAAAAATCATTATTACGAAAGCACAGTCCTTGTATCTGTCATATAGGGAAAGTATTTGTATAGTCCTGGATAAAGGCTCAATGGGTGCAAAAATATTCAATCCCTACAGTTGTTATATGGTAGAACTGATTATGTGCTGGCCATTGATGACAGGTGATTGCCAAGAATAAACTAGACAATTCCATGGTTTCCCATTCCAATCCTTAACTGGCCTTTTCTTATGAATTGTTCCTGAATGTGTGTGACTCCATTTCATATTGGTTGCTTCTTGGCCTAACCACAGTAGATATGGACAGCAAACTATACTTTTTCAAGTGCTTGGAAAACACCTCTAAAAAAGCCGTAATTTGACCCCTTTTGGGGATCCTTTCTATAGACCAAATAAGCACAGTTCCTTTAGGATTTATCTTTTTGTCATTTCCTGTGCTTCTAATCATGCTCAGTGGCTGCCTTAAGTCTTCTGCAGATTAAAGTGGAATCGTGGTGCACCACTTTGCTGGGATATTCCCTCTGAGGAGCAGAGAAGATGATGTATCTTGAATGCAGTGTTGTAAGGTCCCTTTCAGCTGTGTCCCTTGGGGATTGCCATGCCTCTGTTTATGTAACCTAGTTTGATGTTTGCCTTTTTGGAAAATAGCATGATATCATGAATGTGCCTTGAGTCTGCAGTCTAATGGAACTACCAAGCACAAGATAGTCTGCAGAACTGTTTGCTGGTGATTTTTCCTTTGATACTCTTCTCGTGAAGTTGGGGATTTTTTTGTTTGCTTGTTTGTTCTCTCTGCCTTGTTCTTTTGAAGCCTTTTTATCCTCTGCGTAACTAGAATTTGTCATTATAGAATTGAATGCTGCTTTATCAGATGATTTTTTCCATTTACCAACATATTTATGATTTTTTTTCATCCCTTTCTCTAGTATGGTTGTGTTAATTGCACATTTCATGTTTTCCATTAAGGACACTTTTTGCTTTTTGTTCCATCATTCAAGTCATTGCTGAATACATTCAAAAGTTCTGGACTCAGGTCAGGTTCCACTAGAATCCCATTTGGATATCTTCCTGCTTTGATAATTACTTTCTGAGTAGTAATGAGTTTTCATTTACCTTTAGATTTTTCAAGGTGAATATTTCTTCCCTTTGAGGGGTACAAGATCATTATGTGGAAATGATAAAACATTTTTTGCTTAACTGCAATCCATGCTCTAGTTGAAAATTTAATCTTATTTGGGCAACAAAGTGATAAAGGATATTTTCTGCAATAATCTGAAACTTCCTGCAATGTGTTAGACCATCAGAGAAACAACAAGATTATTACTATTTTAAACATGAATTACAAAGTTTTGAATGTTGCTTCTTTTTTTTGTTTTTCTCTTTATTAGCTGTGAGTGTGGGGCTGGTTGTCCAAGGACACTTTAGGAATGTTATTGTCACATTCTGATGAGAAAAACAAAATGTATTTAAGATGCAGGATTACTTGGTTTAATTTATTTCCTCTTATGACAAATATAAAACTGAGGTACTTCTTTTTTTGAGTTTTGGTTTTGATAACTACCATCCATATGATTATTGTTAACTGAATTACATAATAAACCTGCAGATAGAGTACAGTGTTCTGGACTATTAAGAGTTCATTCTCAGTATTTTAAGATGCCAGATAAAAATACATTTTGACCTGATCTCTATGGCCATCTGCTTATGGCTGGGTATTTATGTACTGTGATCAGAAAAAATAGGTAAGAGTTAACTTGAACTGTAAAGTGCAGCATGTTAATACTGCATGAAATAACTTCATGCTTCTAGCCTGAAACTAACATTCCTTGCTGTAAAAGGAAATATTTTATGTAGCTTATAAAGAGGGATCATTTTAATTTTATTTGGTGTTCTTTAGCAAGAATGTTATGATGTCAGTGTCTCCGTAATACATAAATGTCTATGAAAAACTTCAAGAGCAGCTGCTACACATAAAGAGGATGTGAGAATTACTCAACTGGCAGCTGATTCCAGGGATAAAACACCAAGGGCTCAGGAAAAAAAACTTGAAAGTAAAAAGCTGATTCTTTCCTTCATATAAAAAAATCCAGTAGTAAGCAAAGGTAAACTTTAATGTGTGATGAAATTAAAAAACGCCAACCAAGCTACTTTATATTTACAGAACTGTTAAGTAATTCATTAAGGAAGAAAGAAGAGTAGACGTAGCTGTATCTAAGTTGGGCTGACATAATAGCTTTGTCTTGTCTGTGTTCTTTCACAAGATGACATTGATTAATATGAAGTCCAAGGCTAATCTGAGCTGTACTCATTTTCTTTCCATTCTATTGATTAAAGTTATATTCAGCATCTCTGAACTTTTCAGTGTCTTTAAACTTTTAAAGTTCAAAAATACCTAGAAAGCTATTTTACCTTAGAATAGAATTAAATTGAAATGCTACAATTAATTTCCTTAATGTTTAAATCATTGAATTAAACCTGAATGAATTTCTGAGATGATTCTGGATTATATTGTTAACTGCTGGTTTGCACCTAAACTTGGCAGTTTGACACTGATCTTCAATCCAAAACAATGGAAGTCTTTTGCTCATTCCAATATGTAGCTCCCTTGTCAAAAATATGACTGTTCCTATCTAGAAATCACCTTTCTTTTTTCAAGTCAGTGTTCCATAGCCACAAGCTGGTTGAGATCAGGGATATTTCTTTCTCTTGCCTTCATTAAAGATGTTTTGCTTCTCATGCACTCTTCTACTGCAACATTTCTATATAAATGACAGAAAAGATTTTTGTGTAGCACTGATCTTAAAATGGGGTTTATTATGCTGCAAATGTTTTGCAAGAAGTAAAAGAGAGGCCATATTAGACTGCCAAACAAATTTGCCCAGCTCTTGCTCAGGGTCCGGATACTTACCCTGTCAGGATATCTTATCCTTTGCCTGGTTCATTTGTTCTCAATTTCCCCGTTCTTATGTAGATAAACATGAATATTTTCAAATTTTTTTTTAGAATGAATATGTTTATTATGGTGCATTTTCACTTACATACATTGAAGACTCAGTAGTCTTATTTTCTTTCCTTCTAGGTCTTCTTCATTGCTAGGCCTCACCACCTTCAGTCTGTCTTGCTTTTGTCTTAGTTTCAGCTGAGACTTTTTCCCTGTATGGCAACTCCCTTAGACTGTATTTTTACTCAGTCTTTTACTATTTTTCTTCCAAGAACTACATGTAAATTACATCCCAGGTTTTACTTTGTGTTTCAGCTTCTACTATATATGATAGACAGTACAGCTGTCAGCAAGTGCATTTAGTTCAAAAATGTATTTCTTCTCTTACCTTTCATTGTTTCACTAATACTTCTTCAGTGTGAAAAAAGCTTCCTGTTCATGCAGGCATAGCCTTTGTTTTTATACACTGAGTGAGAAGCAGAGAGCTGGCCGATTTTGTCATTTGCAGATTTTCACAGCTAATGCTATTCTCGTATAAGCAGCAGTTAAAATCTTCCCCTAATAACTCCTAACAAGAATGTAGGTCAGACCAAAGGTCCCCTCAAAAAAAAAAAACAAAAAAAAAAACCCCAAAAAACATTGCTATCAGCAGGATTGAAAAACCACAACAAGTTATCCTGTATTCTTGTGATATTCTTTGAGTGTGTGCACGCATCTGCCTATAGACATGCATATATTAAATCAATTTGTGTATGTTTACTTTGACAGATGATGTTTCCATTAGGTGCCCTTTGGCTTGTGAGTGATTTTATGTGACTGTTCTTTATATGGTTCTTCTATAACTAACACCTACTGCTTTCTGACACAGTTTTCTCTTTCTGAGAAGTCTTTCTATGAAGTCTTATTTTATATAGACACTTTGATGTCACCTGCACCCTTTCCCAGGAGCTTTTCATACATCTGTTTGTTCTGCAGACTGAACTTGGGAGTAATTTCTTATTGATGTGATCACAGCTCTAGAACTGTTGACTCTCAGTTCCAAACACTCAGAAATGAAATTTCTGACTGTGTGCTTTCACTGCATGAAGTTCCTCTATTCCCACAATATGAAAATGCTTTTCAAAGCACATGCAGCAGTACATGAGTTACTGAAGAAAATAGCACATCTGTACCAGCACACATTGTCGGACATTACAAGCTTCTGGTAGTGTTCAAATCAGGGATCTGAAATTCTTCCTCTATTCTGTGATTAGAATGGAAGGAATTTATCTTCTTAGGCTGTTAAATAAGCAGGATTTTGTTCTTTTGGGTTTTCCCCCCCCCAGTAATACTTCTAATCTGATTTGTCATTTATTGGTAAAGCAGGGCAATATCTTGGTCTTTTGCATATTGCTAGTGCATAAGCTAACACTGTGCAAGGGGAAAACCAGCTCCTGTGATTTTTTTTTTTAATTAATTGGCCACTTTATTAAAAATGTTTCAAGTGAGATTCATATGCTTTCTGAATTCCCTTTTTAAATCTGTATTTGTAGGAGCTCATAATATAGCTGTAACATTGCACAGGATGTACTGTTTTCACAGAAATTAATATGTTTCAGGCAAAAGCATTCTTTTTTTTTTTTTTTTTGCATTTAAAATATTTGGTTTATAAGGTATTAGATAATCTAACTTTATTATTACTAGGAGAGAGTCAAAGAAAACTGCTGTCAAAGGAAAATATAAAACAAATTTTCATTTTGTATGTTAATTATCAAATCTGACCTCTAGTGGTTACAGAATGGAACAAATGGAGTGTTAGCTTCCATTACACTCTTTTTATTTTGAAGTATTATTGCAATGTTTCCAATCAGATGTGAATGTTTTCCTTAAAAATACTACATTCAAAATTATTAATATTAATTTTCCAGACACATCTCTAGGTGTAGTGATTTGAAATCAGTGGTGCTATAATATTAAGGGAGCTTATATAAGGAACAACAGCAGCTATAGAGGGTCAGAACTCCTATTTCTCAAGACAAATACCAGATAGCTCTGTTTCATCCATAGTACTTCACATCTACTTGCTGAGTTTGAGAATGTTTTAGGAGGGCCATATTCAGCTGCCAGAGGCTCGAAGCAGTATGTTACAGCAGGTCAAGACAATATACTGTACGCGAGGACAAAAAAAAGGGAACTTGATTTTATGTTCAGGTTCTGTTAACTTCAAAGTTAAGTTTCATAACCACAGCTTAAGAGCTGAAAAGCTGCTCTAAGTTTGAACTGAATGTGCATTAGGTACTTTAAATCTGGATTTTTTTTTAATGTGAAAAAGGATTGACTATTTGAACTCAAGAAATAGTAAGATATGAGTTCTGAAAGAGGAAACTTTTTTTTTTACTTTTTTTTATTATTACTTTTATTTTAATCTGTTTATTTTTAGGGGCTGGAGGTGTAATTTAAACATTTGGAAACAATGAAACCTGGCATAGCATATGCCACTGCAGCTGTCAAAACCAGCAAGAGGGAGAGATCACCAAAGAGAGGGAGGGATAAAGCTGCCATTGTTACCTTCACAGAACTGGCCTGAGTGCCATACTGCTTCCTAGGGCAGTAGGAAAAGAACATCTTAAGGTCTCAGGTGGCAGCAGCTTTCCCTCTAAATAAAAACAGAGCAATCAAGGTTAGCAGTAGCCAACTTTTTAAGAGCAAGCTTCTCTGGATTGTTTTTCATTGTCTGTGCTTTAATATTACAAATTCAATATTTAACTGGGTTGTGAATTTCATTTGATGTTTTTAGCAAATTATATTTCTGGAAAAGAAAATGCATCCTTCCCTGTTTTTTCATTTTGGCCCTTTATTCCATGATGAATTTCATGCAGTAAATGGTTTTTAGCAAAGTTTGCTGATGGTCCTCCTCTAAGCATTGCAATTACTACAGGTCCAAATCTGTGAGCATATCTTAGAGGAGGAGGTGTGAGGAGTATTACATCCTTGCCTGACTATAAAAGTCTCCACATACTCTCTTACAATTTCTTGTATGTTTTGGGAAGTAGTGGAATCTCTTTACAGTGAGGAGCAGTTGCAAGGGGTGTAAAGAAAGGCAAACTCCCTCACTTGATTTGTAGCCTAGTAAAATGGTATCTCTAGACTGCATGGATTACATGTTTAAATTCAAAGGTAGAAATTGCCTCTAAATAGTCAGAGGACATTTTCAGTTGAGATAACCTTAGTCAGAATCAGTAACAGCTTTTACCTTCCATCTTGCTGTTTTGTGGTATATGCTGACATGAAGAGTTTACTTACAGAACTGAAACAGGCTGACATTTTTTACTGTAAACACAGGTTACAGAAATACTTGAATCAAAACAAGGGTGATAAGAAAGGTATCTCCCTGGTTTCAGCTTGTTAATAAACACTGGGGCTATGTCAGAGAGTAATAACTGATATTTGAAAAGAGGGTAACCTATTTAAATGTCTGTTTTAGACCCAAATCAGAAAATGCATGGATATTTGCAAAACCAAATGCAGTACAAGCCATTGGGGTGATGTCATTTGGTAAGTGTTTTTTGCTGTTTGGGTTTATTTTCAAAATTAAGGTCAATTGTAAGAAACTATTTAATATTTTGAAACTATAATTTTTTTTTAATATTCATGTTAAACTGATACTGAAAAAAAACTGTTGAATGTTCCATATCAATGTAATTGTTATTGTGTAAAGCATTAACCTCATCCATTGTCCATTTGGCCCTGGAGGTTTGCCACTGTAGCAGAGACAGTGTGCACATGAGTGCAGCTCACCTGTGCAGGTCATCCTAAAGCCCCTGCATCAGTGGGTTTGTCTAAGTGATAAACTGAGGGGGCTGGGATCATTCTGCATTCCCTTGGGTAACCTCTAACAGAAAAGTCCTCATTCTGAAATCTGTTCCTGCCTGCAGGATCTGGTATATTATTTCTTGTTAGCATTGTGATAATCTGAGGCCTCCCAATGATTGCTGCTGCCTAAAATGGATGCCATATGAAGTCTGAAAGTAGCAAATGGCTCTGTAGATTTAAAAAAAAAAAAAACAACTTCTCAAATCTGCTGCTGGGTTCTTAAGTAAAAGAGCAGGAGGAGGAAATAGCTGTGGAATGGAGATGTGGAGGGTGGGAAATTGCATAGCATTTAAGGATAATGTAATCAGAATCATCTCAGGATGAATATAAACCTTCATCAAATCAACTAAGCAAGCAAAGGTTCAAGCCATTTATCTTTGCCACTCATTGCAAGATTAATGTTTGTATTTAATAATGAGTGGATTCAAAGTGTGCTGTGTCTCTATGCATTTATGCATGAATTCATACATTTGCTTTAACTGTCATGTGTGTTTCAGCATTCATCTGCCATCATAACAGCTTTTTAATATATGGGTCTCTGGAAGAACCCACATTAAAGAATTGGTCTCAAGTCACACATATGTCTGTGGCCCTTGCTCTTATCATCAGTGTAGTGTTTGCTGCCAGTGGATATATGACTTTTACAGGATACACAGAAGGTAAACTGCTTGATCCCTCAATTTTGGTGCTTGCTATAATCCTTACGTTTCTGCCTTCCTGTCTGATTTTTTTTTCTGTAAACATCTTGGTGACTGTAAAAATGCAAATATCATAGTATATGTGGGCAGAAATAGGACATTTGTCATAGTTACCCAACAACCAAAACATGATCCAAAAATGTCAGCTACATGCTAATAGCTGTCAGATTCCTAAGTATAAGCCTCATCAGTGGAAGTCCCATTTGAATACTTCCATCATTAAAACACTTTGAGGACTACACTACACAGCTATGATTTATCCACATGGTCCAGCAGTAGAGAGCAGTTAAGAGCAAAAATTTCCTACAGAGTATCTGGTATATATCTGTGTATATTTTCTTACATTTTTTCTTGTCTGTACTAATACAGCATCCTAGAGTTAGAGATGTTTCCTATCTTTGCAACAGCTGTTCTGGTGTTAATAATCCTACTGTCCCCTCTGTGGGTATATGAATACACATAAATATATATAACCAATGTTGCATCATACTGTTTAACATCATTTTGTTGAAGTGAAAAAGGTATGTTCATAAGAACAAGGTATAAATTAGTTTCAGTGCATTACTTTCTTCAGGGAAAATACACATTTCATAAGCAAGCATATTTTCTGTTACTTAGTAGCGACATTCCAGATTGTAGGAGGAGGCTTCCAAGATTTTTCCTTTTCTGATGAGCAGCAGCATTTAGTTGAGAACAGAGAAATTGTAGGATGGGGACTCCTGCTTTATCCGTCCTTTTTTTTCCTGCCTCCATTGCTTACTCCTGCAGAGTAAGTCACTGTCCTAGATGTACTGTAGCTAGACCGAATGCAGGCTAGCTGAGAACTTTCAGGTACAGAAAGCTCTGCCTGCAGCTCCTCCTCAGCTTATGACTCTTGTGTTAGCAGGTTCCATCTCACTTTCTGTCTCCCCTGCCAAAATCTTTTGGCTGTTTAAAGTATGCTTTATTGCTTCTTCAGTGCCATTGTGTTTCCTAAAGTAGTAAATCATGAGACAGTATGGTAACCACATAAAAGAGAACTGATAGATCATCTGGTCACTGTCTTGCACTGTCTCTTGTGCTTCAGAGATGATTACTACAGATTCTTTGTGGTACACACGAGATGATTTGAATTCTATAGTGATGCTTTTGGTTTTAGATATAAGATGATTTGCTAGGTGATAATCCATATGTTTGTAATAGGCTTTTGAGGTCAGAATACTTGAAATTATCTTCTACAGCTTATTAGCTGTGAGTAGATACTGTCAGGGAAATGCGGTTCTCCACAGGTAACTCTCACCTCTTTTTTTAAGTAATTGTTGTTCCAGGAGTTTTTAGGGAAAATTTATCTTCTACACATAAGCTTTCTTTCTGAATCTGTCACATATTTATTTAATCAAACACCGGCATCTCATACAAAATCTATGTTATGGAGAAGATAACAGATGACAAACTCTGATATGTATATTTTAAAATATTTTTTGAAGATAATTGTCACTTGAAGTAAAATACGCAGCTTAACCAGCAGGATAAGCTGAAAGTTATTCCCGGACATAACTTGTGACTGTAACTAGTTCCTAGTTACATGTCAGAAGAGGGGATCAGAAAACCTCAATTACTCCAGTAATCTGCACTTCAAGTTGCAAATATAGGCAAATGATGTGAAGTTCAAGCTAATTGGTGTTTTGCTATGCCTCAGGAGATATATTTGAAAACTACTGTAGAGATGACAACCTTGCTACATTTGGAAGGTTTTGTTATGGAGTTACTGTAATTCTAACCTTCCCCCTTGAATGTTTTGTGACCAGAGAGGTAAGAATTTATTACATTTTCCCTTTAACGCTGTTGTTATATATTAATAGTATTGTCATATATTGTAGCTGAAGTCTATGGTTGATCTGTGATAAATAGCAGCATATTTTATCCTGCTGCATGCAATGAGTAGGGGGGACTAGTTGTACTGTTTAGACACTGGCCATACACATTTAGACACTGGTTTCACATTTATTAATATATTAATAATTACTGAATAAATCAGGACTGCTTGAAATTTCAAGTTTGGCATAAATGACACTGTTGTTACTGTGTTGAGAATAGCAAAAAATACATACTTTTCAATCTTAATAGTTTTTAGAAGTATCTCCATCTAGGAAATTCATCAATTCAATGAATAATTGTAAGTGGATTTATTCTGTGATGGGCAAATGGGAAAAGAGTAAGTTCTGAAATCCTACAGGTATAGCTAAGTCAATTTGGCAAGTGTTCTGCAATTTTAGTAATGATTGTTATGGGTAATTTTTGGAAGCAGATGAAGATGTTTTCTTGAAGCAAGGTAAGTAAAATTCAGCCAGTGTATTCTCACTCATTCCTTTAGTTTCCTAAGGTTAGAAGGTTTGGAGTAAGTTGTTTGATAACATAAGGAGAAAAATCAAGGTTTAAAATTGTGATTCTGTTTCAGGTGATTGCCAATGTGTTTTTCCATGGGAACCTCTCAACAGTTTTCCATGTTGTTGTGACAGTAGTTATCATTGCTGTGGCGACTGGTGTATCATTAGTGTATGATTGCCTTGGAATAGTTTTAGAGCTGAATGTAAGTGAACCTGTTTACTCTTTTATTTAATAAATCACTTATTAATAAATAAGAAAATTTTAAAATCCACATCTCTACTGAAAATCTTAGGAAATTTGACATAGTCAGTAGTAGTGTTAGAAGAAGGAATTACTGCTTCAAAACCAGATAACTAAAGGTGAAAGGAAGTTCAGGAAGTAAAATTCATATGGTTGGGGAGGGTTTTAGAACAGTTTTGTAGATAAGGCAAGTGGCTATGACCTACCAAATGTGTTAAGCCACAGCAGAAATCACTGAAATACTCATCCAGACTGTGTAGTGGTATTGCATTTAGCATTTCTTTCTGATTAAGTTGGCAAATTACTTAACACTGGGGCAGATTCTAGTGACTGCCTTGTGCCACAGGGGCAAAAAACAGAGGGAGGTAGAAAGAAAGAGCCAGTAGTAGCTAGACCACAGAGATGGTCACTGGAAATATACAATCAAAAGCAAGCAAAAAAAGCAAGCATTCCACCAGTGCAGTGGTCTATTTCCTAAGCAGTTAGTCAGTAGTCAAACTGATAGCTTTATTCAGTTACAAATAGAAGTTGATAGCCAGGCATTTGCGTGGGTAGCTCCTATCTTGTAGGGTTTTTTTGCTTTTCCTTTTTAAGAGAGAATTTGATGATACAGCTGTAGGTATTTATTGGATGTAATAATTGTTCTCAGAAAGATTGTTCGGTCCTGATATCTAGCAGTAGGGAAAAATGAATAGACAGAGTATTTACATGTGAAAGAAAGGTGATCTGTCTTTGAGCTGGCTTTCTGTCCAGCAGAAGAGCTGTCTTTTGGCTCTTCATCACGGATGGCATTTGATACTATTTCTCTGAGCCTGCTTACTCTCCTGCTTTAGAACAAAACACAAGCCATTGTGTTTGCCGGGTGGTAATTCCCCAGGGAAACCATTGAGTCATATGGGAGTCAAAGGGTCACAGAGTTTGCTTTGTTATTCTTTTACTGGGATGCTGGTTTGTGTTACTTCACAGACCTAAAGCTTAATTTTCGTGGAGGAGACACTTTGTGCTTGTACGTATTTCTGATGTCTATACTGATCACTGTTAACAGGTTCTACCATACCAATACTGGAAGTTTTGTACAATTAATGATGTAAAGTTATTACTTAGGCTGGATTACTATCTGGCCATAATTAAATTGAAACACAGAGTTTGTTAACTATGTAACTAAATAAACATTCAAAATTTCTACATAAAATTGCTTCCTTTTGGCATGTAACTCATATGCTAATCTGCAGTGGCTTTACTATAAAAAGAATTTTTGAAAGTGCTTTTTGTTTGTCCCTTTCTAAGAGAGCATTCAAAGAGGAGCTGAATTTTTAGTGAAAGGTTCTACTCTGTGAAAAGGAGCTTTGCTTTCATAAGGAAGTCAACCTAAATCAGGTTATAAATGTCAAAACTGATGAAAATTCTTTGAACTGCTACAGGATGCTACATGAATTTTTTTTCAAAAAAATTTATTCCTTTTAAAGGCAGTGTTATATCTAAACTCCTCCATGGAATTATCTTAAATATTTTAATTCAGCTCAAGTATTGAAGAACTATGTTTGGACTTCTACTCTATCTCTTAAGCTGAGAAACTTTGGGTAATAAGATTAAATGCTTCTTGAAATATTAAAATATTATTCTGTATCAGCAAAGCAAAAGCATTTAAATAAATCTTAATTATTGGAAATAGTTTAACAGATATTTTTGCATATTTTGGGGCCTTTTGTTTGGAAAAAAAAGGTTTTCCATATAGCAACACAGGAAAATGCCTTTATCCTCTGTTTTTACTGTTGTATCAATCTAATCACAACTGTTAAAAAAATTAGGTTTTTTTTCTTCACATCTAAATAAACATGCTGATGAGGTTTTTTCTATTGCTCTTTCCCACACACAGGGAGTTTTGAGTGCTACCCCACTTGTTTTTATCATCCCATCAGCGTGTTATCTAAGGCTGTCCAAGGAGCGGTGGAACCATTCAGATAACCTCATATCCTGCCTGATTCTTGTTCTTGGTGTGCTAGTGATGGCAGTTGGGTTTGTCATGACTGTCTTGCATCCCCAGGAATGTAGCCATGGAAAAGAAATGTTCTACTGCTCCCCTAGTAATGTTTCTTTACACAACAGCACACTTCCACCATAGGTAGCACACCAACCTCCAGACTAGACTGGGCACATCTCACTGTGAGCCATACATGCCAGTTTAAAGGAGAGTGGAACAAAGTTTTTTCATGTTTTGAGATGCATTAAGAATTTAAAACTGTATCACTGTATTTACATACTTGATTTTATGCTGTCATCCTTTTTCAGGTAAGACTTCAGTTTTAACTGTTGAAACACAAAATCTCAGAGGTGCCTTTCAGTAGACATTACTTGAATAACTTGCAAGCCTACCAAAAAGGTTGCATTTTTTAACCTTAGTCTGCAATACTGTTTAAAAGTGATAAATTAAATGTTTTGGAATATAAACCTTTCCATGTTTCATTGATTTAACTTAGTTTTTATTAATTTTATAATCTTTCATGTGTATTTATTAGCACACTATAGTATGGGGGCTTTTTGAAGTCCTGTAAAAGTGTATTTCTGGATCTCTGTGTACTACAACTCTGCTATTAAATCAAAAGACCCTTATTAATTCTGTCTTTGATTTTGCAGTAACTGTCCTTTAGAGCTGAAAGCTTCCCTTTTACTGGGTCTTGAGTCAAAGGAAATTTTGTATTCTGACTGAACTGTAACTGATACAATTTAATTGTAACTGTTACAATATGTGGTCTTGTAATTGAAAGTTGTTGCACAAGAAAAAATCCACAAGAGTGGAATTTAAAAAGATTGAACTAGGCAATCTTTGTAAAAATTTCAAGATTGACGAAGAAGGAAATTACATTGCAGCTCAATTCTTACATTTATAATATTATTCATTATTTCTGAAACTGAATTTAAATTAACGTTCTAAACCTGATTATCATTCGAGTCCTCTGTTTCTTTTCAGTATATGACTAATGATTTTGTCATGGTTTGTCAAATTTTGGTGATTTGTTATGCTTTCCAAAATTTATCTAACATCAAGGATTCACATATATATATATGTATGTGTATAAATATACATATATACATAAGTATATAAAAATTGACTCACATGCCTATGGAATAGGACTAATTTGAGGCTGAGTAATGTGAGTATCCTCAGTCATATCGATGCTGTCATTTTGAAAATGTTTTGTTACCAAATCAAAATGTGTATTTGAGTTAATTTCTGCATTATTGTGATCCTTGTGGTTCCTCATGCCAGCTAGATGTGTAATGCTACTTAATTTTTATGCTGCTTAATGGGGAGGGGTTTTGTCTTCATCTTGCATGACAAAGCTATGCCATTCAAGACTTCCCACTAAACAAATGTGTAAGCAAGGGTGGTAGCTAAATGATGATAATACTTGTAAGAATAACACTTTTTAAAAGTAGTGCTTCCAAAATAAATGCTTTAAATATACTGGGAATTTTTGTTGTTTCTTTGGTAGGATTTTTTTTAAGTTGCAAAGCAATTAGAGAGAAGCTTGAGTATTACTCTGCTTTCATTTCTCTACAAAGTGCCAGCTTTGAGGGTGATAATTTATTTGTTCTCCAGGCACCTGATACTGTTCACAAAGAATATTTCTCACCAGTTTAGATTCAGTAATAGCTGATTTTGTCTTAGCTGTGGGTGAATTGTTACTGAATAAATCACTTTCTTCTATGCCAAATGGAGTCAAACCCAAATAATATTTCCTTGTGACAGCTAAGGAGATCTTTTTGATCAATCATAATTCTTTCATAAGCTTTATTGTTCTTTTTGTTTTTCTGATTTTTTTTTTTTACTTTTAAAGTAGATTACTTTGTTTCAGGTATTAATTATAAACTATCTTTGCTAGTTTCATTTGTGAATTTCCCAGGTGATGATGGGGTTCTCCCAGCCGTAAGTATATTGAAAGTGGGAGATTGGGTGTCACAGATGCCAGAACTTAAAGTTAACTGCTATTTTCCTAAAGGCTTTATAAAACCCATGATCCCTTCCTTCCAATATTACGTAGTGAAACTTACCTTTATTGAAATGAAAAATAGTAGCAATCTGGTAAATCCTGTCTTAGAACCTAGGAGGTCCAAATACAGAAAGATAATACATCATAACAAAAATTGTGATAACCATTGTTTTTTGCAAACACTTAAGACTCTCCAAAATAAAATTGTAAAATCTATTGGGAACCTCTCACTGGCCTCAGCATGTGCAGGATCTCACCACAATCTTAGTACTTCAAGCAGTGGTTTGCTGGGAGTAGCAATATCCCCAACTCCAAATGCTCCGTGGTGACAGAACTTCATGGAGTGCCTGGAGGGAGAAGAATGTTCCCCAGGCATTTGCTGGCAGGATTTTCACATCAAAAGCTGGTAGCATGACTTACTGTGTCTCCAAGTTCCTCTCTCCAGCTGAGAAGGCATTTCAGGACACCAGATGTACAATTACCATTCTCACAGGAGCTAAGCAGACAGTTTTTGACTTTCTAGAGTAAAGTGCTTCTTACCAATCACAGAATTCTGAGCATTCACAAAATACTTCCTCCTAAAAGTTGGTCAGATGACCAAACCCGATGTACTACCTGAGACTTCCTAGAGAATTTTCCTTCCTCCTCAAGTTTCTCTCTGGAGAGGGAAGCAAAATGGCTCAGGTTTGCTGAATGGACATATTTCTGTATATTTTTCACACACAAAATCTTTATATCTCATATAACATACATACATTACATATATTTTCTGCATCCAATAGGGGAAGGATATTTATTTACTATATACACTGTTTAGTATTTGTGACTCACTGGAGAACAAAACTTAAAAAGTAGTGTGAGAATTTATTTGGAGTCTGGTGGGAACTTGGGGTAAAAGGGAGAAAGTAATAAAAGCTGCAGAGTAAACAAATGTATTGGGAGTGAAAAATATGAGATTCAACAATTCAAACATAATTCACAGAAGAGTTCTACTTTTAATAATTCTGTTACATGAAGATCTAATTTTAAAAGCAATTTTTGAGTTTTGGAATATTTAAAAAAATTTTTAAGAATTGATGTAAATTCTAAAACATTCAAGATTTGAATTCAGGCCAGTGAAGGAAATAAGTACCTGCTTTCCAGTTTCTGTCATTCACTGCTGTTGGAGAAGTTGAAATTCAGGTACATGCTTAATACATGACTCAAAACTCTTCATGGAGAGAAAGTAAACTATATCCTTATTCCTCTTTATGCTTATCTTTCTGTTCTCTCCTAACTAAATGTTGATTCTAGGTGCTTCATAAGGCAATACCATATAGAAGAGCTATAGTTGACATATGGAATTCCAAAATGGCATTCAAGAAAAGTTCAGGCAGGTCTGAATTTTCACATGTAATCTCCTAAAAGAGGCAGTATCCACTGAACACTGGAAATTCCCAGCAAGATTCATGGACTTACTGTATTAATGCAAATACAGAAGTAATGAACCAAAGACAAAGTTAGAAACAAGTGAAAATTACTATAAGACACTGTAGGAATAAATGTCATAGATGTCATTCTGTAAAACCTGCATTGAGATGGGGTCATGTAAATTAGCTTTCAGAGCAGCTTATGTCTGCCACAAGCAACACACTTGGCAGACTCTTCAGCAGTGTCCTTTGTCTTGATGGAGGCAGGACAGCTGACAGTGGTGCTTTGCTGTCTCACCAAGAGTGCCTGCCTGAGATTGTATGGTGGGATGTTGTAACCACCTCCTGGGACTTCTGTTTCTAGAGGCAGGGGCTGGCTCATATTTTTCTTAGTGTTCATACACTGCTTAGCACAGTGGCTCCTGATTGATGACAGGGCCTCCTAGGTGCCAGTAACACAAGCAGTAGTTATTATACTATGGCCATATTTTGCTGTTTCTCTATCATTATATCCTGTTGCAGTCTCAGTGGATAACATAAATATGTTACTGGATGACAGGTGGTCCCTTTGCTTCTATTTTTGCTTCCATGTTTGGGGTAAAAAAGGTTTAGAAGATGCCTTCTCGCTGTTTTGTTCATTGCATTTTGTGGCTTTTCAGACAAGGACATGGGTGTCACATGCTTATTAGTAGTCAAAGTAGTTAGTAGTTATTCTGGTTTTTGCAGTGCTGCGTGAAAACTCTTGTGAAAAAGCAGTACCTTGTCTATTATACAGAATATGTTCAAACACAGGGCAGTTCTGGCCTTTGTGAAACAATTAACTCATCAAAGGAGGCATAGCTGGGGTTGTGTGACGTTTGCTGGAGTGAAAGCTGCGTAATTTTGGCCATCTTTCATACCAACCCATTAGGAAAGATAACTTTGAGGTCGAAGGACAAATATTTTAAAGCTTGAACTGACTACTTGGAAAAAAAATGAACATGCCCTACAGAGCAACAAAATCACATGATTAGAGGGACATCTATTTAAAACTCCCTTATACTGACCAATAACTTTTTCCTTTCACCATGCCTTTTTCTGTCACAAAGGAATATTTCTAATGAACTACAGCACTAAGTTTCAGGCTCTTTTTTGTCATATTGCAAGAGATACGTTACTGAGTGACTATTTGCTCCTTTTCTTTCTAGTTTTTCTGTGGTTTATTTTTTCCCAGAAAAGATTGTCTGTCTTTTGAATCAGTCCTTTTATATCACAGTTCAGTATTCTGATGTGGGAAGTGCAAAGTATTTTCTATTTTTTTACATAAATATTTATCAGCCTACTGTAGAATAATAGACATCTTAAAATAACAGGAGTTTTCACAAAAGGGGTATTATCTTTCCTGAACTATATAGTTAGCTGTCTTCCAGAGGAGAGAGAAATCCCTAAAGAGATAGATCCCTAAAATTAAATTCAGAAGGAGGTAGCATATAAGACAATACCATAACACAGTGTTTTGCAGCATTTTAAATTAGTGGAGTGCCGTGTGTTGGCACCAAACTTTTGTAACAGTGCTAGTCAGCCTGCAGTGTGAGACAAATGGTGTTCTTAGACTCCATTTATTTAACAGTATGTATTAAATCTCTTCCCATTTACTGATTGGGCAATGGAATGGAGTATTACCCTGTCTCAGAGGACAGTAATTCTTAAACTATGCAAAAATATAATTATATAGCATGTTT